ACACACACACACACACACACACACACACACACACATATATATATATATATTTAAGCCAGGCATAGCGATATACACCTTTAATCCCAGAAGTGGAGGCAGATCTCCATGAGATCAAAACTACCTTGGTCCATGTAGGCCAGCTGGGGCTATAGGGAGACCCTGTCTCAAAAAGAAAATTAAAGAAAATGCATGCATTGAAATATTACAGGGAGAAGTGGGCACCTGGCTCTGTGTAGTTTTGACTGCTGAGGCCCACAGTCAACATAGGGCATCATGTGGGTGCTCTAACAGATGAGAGAGAGCTCTTTGGTGAAAAGGAAGAAATTTCCCCCAGGTATTATGCGAAAGGAAGGAGGAAACTTACTCAGGGCACCCGTGGAAGCACCTGCCTTCATGCAGGAACAGAGGGCGATCCGGCTGATTCAGGCACCTTTGGCAAAGATTGGCTCCAGAACAAGAGGCACAGTCCTCGGAACAGTTTTCACAGCTGCCACTCCTGACTGAGGGCCATGTGCCTTGTGGACAGGAGGAAACACATGCCTGCAGCAACAGGTATGCCCCTGGAGATCAGGGAAGAAGGCAGAGAACAGCTGTCACGGTTGGTCCTAACACCATATATGTCACTCAAAAGACTCACGCCCACAGTGGCTTTATCTTAAAAACTTCAAAGGCCAGGAATGTGGAGCACTTATTTCAGGCTTTCAAAATATTAGTGGTGCTCAGTCCTCCCAGATGCACTCATCTTTTGGAAGGAAATTGGTGCTACAGAGCCTTGGCTCTCCTTCTTCTACTTGAGCTGACGTAACACTCTGGTCACCCCAGGGCCTCCCTTTGCCCTGCTGATCAGCTCTATCTTTTATATAGTCACAGGAGAGGAAGCACCATGGGGTCTCCTCTCCTGCCTCCCCATACCTGTCTGTGGTAGATGTGGCTTTTTCATTTGCCTTCCCCTAAATACATGCTTCATCCCTTACATATGTTTAACTGAAAAGCAAGTATCATTATAAAAAAAATGGGGCTGGCAAAATGGCTCATTGGGTAAAGGAACTTGCTGCTGAGCCTGGAAAATGGAGCTCAGTCCCTGGAACCCACGTGGTGGAAGAAGAGACCTGAGTCCTGAAAGCTGTCCTCTGACAGCATGGCACACACACACACACACACACACACACACACACACACACCACCACCTCCACCACCACCAACAACAAATAAGTTTTAAAAAGTTAAGGGGCTGGGGAGGTAGCTGCTAGTAAAGTGCTAACCATACAAGCATAAGGACCTGAGTTCGATCCCTAGATGCCATATAAAAATCTGAGTGTAGGCGTTAGTCAGCCTGCGTGGTTGCAGGCGCCTACTCCCAGCTGTAGCTGCCACTGCTGGCCGCCATGAAAAAAAAAATCTGCGTGTAGTAGCTGAAGGAAATTAGCACAACATAGGACCCCTGACACAGAACGTGTGGTCCCTGGCCATCCAGTTCTATATTGGGCACTTCCTCTTGCCCTCTGTCTGGGTGTCCAGACAGGCCACATAGACAAGTCCCAGGAGAAATCACAAAAATGGCCAAAAATAAATGTCCCCTGCAGCAGCTGTCCCCCCAAAATCCCCTTGTAGCTACTGCCCCCATATAAGACCCTGACCAGCCCTATGCCCCTTGTCTAGTCTCCATCCCATGGGAATGTTGTTGCCTCTCCTGTGCTAATAAACACGGTCTAGTGTGTTGCAGTCAGATGTGGTCATTTTCCTTCTCTCCTATTGTTCCTGTATTCTGCCTCCAAAATCTAATAGTAGCAAGCGCTTATAATCCCACCATTGCTGAGGTGAAGCAGGAGACTCCCAGGGGCTCACTGGATGACCAGCCGGTCCAGGTGAATTGCTGAGCCCCAGACCAATGAGTGACCTGCTTTAAAAACAAGCAAACAAACCAACCAGGGGAGGGAGAGAGAAAACAGAAACAGGGACAAAAACAAGGTGGACAGCCATCCTGAGGAACAAAGTCTAAGGTTGACTTCTGGCCTTCACATGCATGTGAAGATACATATGCACATTAACACCCACTCCCACACACATACTGATGGTACACACACATACATTAAAAATTTTTTAAATAGGGTGGGCATGGTGGCTCATGCCTTGAATCTCAGCAGTCAGGAGACAGAGGCAGGCAGATCTCTGTGAGTTCAAGGCCAACCTGGTCTACATAGTGAGTTCTAGGCCAGCTGGGACTACAGGGAAACCCTGTCTCAAAAAGACCAAAAAAAATTTTTTTTAAATAACATAAAGATAAAAAAACCTATTTCAGAATCATCTCAATTCCAAAATTTTGAAACATACTGTTTTGCTTTTGAGTGCCTCCTTTTATAGGATCATCATTTTGGTATATCTAATTATTTTAAATTCTGCTTTGACAGACGGTGCTACCACAGTCCCCTTTACTCATGGTTTTGCCTTCTAAACTCCCCGTTAATTGATGTCAACCAAGGTCAAAAAAATTAAATGAAAATTTCAGAAGTAAAATTTCCTAATTTATAAAAACTTTTATTACAGTGTATTGCTATATTTTCCCATTTTATTATTAGCTATTGTTAATTTCTTATCATGCCTAATTTATAAATTAATCTTTATCATAGGAATGTGTTATGAGAAAAATGGTGTAGACAAGATTTGGCGCTATTAGTGGTTTCAGATCTCCAGGAAGAGCTGGAACAAATTCCCAGAGAATAAGGAGGCTGACTGGCGACTGTCTGGGACTGTGCTTTGAGGGCTGACTACATTAACACTGCACATTCCCTCTTGGCTTTTCTAAGGCTCATTAGATAGGAGCATTGCAAGCTTTATGTTAATGTCATGGATTAGGAAACTGTGCTACTGCTAATGTTTTCATGGAGAAGGAAAACAAAGGTGTTTTGAAGGAGCTATCATGCTGCCGGCCTGTCCTTCCCTCCTGGTCACTAAATTCAGTGCCAATGATGAAGGAAGCCCCAGTCAGTGCCTTATCCTCACACATCCTCTACCCTGAGTTCCCTTGACCATTTAGAAAAATTATGATTTGCCCGAGTTTATGTGCACCACATTCGTGCAGGCACACCAGGAGACCAGAAGTGGGCGTTGAATCCCCTGGAACTACAGTTACAGGTGTTTGTAAGCAGCCAGATGTGGGTGCTGGGGAACAAAGTCAAGTCTTCTGTAAGAGCAGTATGCGCTCTTAACTACTGAGCCATCTCTCTGGCCCGCAAGTTCTCCTGCCTTGGATATGTCTTACAAGAACAAGGGGCCCTAAAAATGTCAAGCATCCATAGATCCCAGCTAATTCTTCACCAGGTCAGCCCAAGACGTCATCGTGCTTTTCGAGCAAGAAGCATTCTTTGTTCTTAGAAGCCAACTTTTATCACTGGTCACTGTTTGGTTCCCTGTGTCTATCCCCAGCAGCCTGCATAATGGGAGCATAAGTTGGGACTCAATCAATGCCCTACAGCCTCTGAACACAGTAGACCAGTGCCATACAGGCTCTGAACACAGAGCCACCAATGACAGGAGTGACAGTGGACAGGCCCAGCCACCACCATTTCTCCTCACCCTCCACACTGACCTTTTGGACATGAAGTGCAGAGAGTTTCAGATCCACTGCAGGTTTTACAAGAAGGATGACAAGGCTGATGTCTCAACACATCTGTATGGGCAAGAAACAAGTCAGACCTGGCCTTGGAAAGGCCTTGGTGTTAGAGTGATGGAGAAGACTGTGCGGTAACTCAGCTCCTTTCCTGCCCCAAACAGATTTCTTTTGATGTTAAATTAGCTAACTGTTGAAAACCGCCCATCGCTAATATGCAGAATTTCTTCCCCTTTCCCCTTACTTTTTCACTGGAGACTGATTATTAAAACTTTCTTTGCAATCTTGCAGTGCCAGAGAGTGTGGCATCTCACAGGACAGTTGTAATACTCCAGGGATATTTGAACCAACAAACGGTGTGCTTTCATGTGTTCAGTCTGTGCAGTGTGAGTGTCTAAGTGTTCGCACTCTCTCTCCAAGAGCTTTTGAGGGAAGGCCTTTCAAGGACGTTACCTCGGCAACCTCATGGGACAGTTTCAGCCTCACCAACCCTGTGCAATATGTACTGAGATCTTCTCAGGGGAAATTTAGAAAGGAACCAGTGATCCCAAGTGCCCTGACAGGCACTCGTTATGACCCTCTAGTATGACCCTCTAGTACTTGTTATGGCAGGCACTCGTTATGACCCTCTAGTATGACCCTCTAGTACTTGTTATAGAAGGCACTCGTTATGACCCTCTAGTATGACCCTCTAGTACTTGTTATGGCAGGCACTCGTTATGACCCTCTAGTATGACCCTCTAGTACTTGTTATGGAAGGCACTCGTTATGACCCTCTAGTATGACCTTCTAGTACTTGTTATGGCAGGCACTCGTTATGACCCTCTAGTACTTGTTATGGCAGGCACTTCTTATGACCCTCTAGTATGACCCTCTAGTAATTGTTATGGCAGGCATTTGTTAATGGCAGGCACTCGTTATGACCCTCTAGTATGACCCTCTAGTACTTGTTATGGAAGGCACTCGTTATGACCCTCTAGTATGACCTTCTAGTACTTGTTATGGCAGGCACTCGTTATGACCCTCTAGTACTTGTTATGGCAGGCACTTCTTATGACCCTCTAGTATGACCCTCTAGTAATTGTTATGGCAGGCATTTGTTAAGACCCTCTAGTATGACCTTCTAGTACTTGTTATGGCAGGCACTCGTTATGACCCTCTAGTACTTGTTATGGCAGGCACTTCTTATGACCCTCTAGTATGACCCTCTAGTAATTGTTATGGCAGGCATTTGTTAAGACCCTCTAGTATGACCCTCTAGTAGCCTTCCTTTCTGTTTCCCTCCTTGTCTTGTCCTCCATTCCCTTCCTGGGAGTCAATCTGGCATCAATGGCTCTCCTCACACCTGCCTTCAGATCCCAGCTATGCAGCTTATGGGTAAGGTAACCATGGATACAGTCATTAAACTCTCAGAGTCCTATTTTCCATGTCTCTAAAATGAGAGAAAATGGTTCCTCCCTTGTAGAATGAATGTGAAGTGCAGTGAGGCAGTTTGTATAAAGTGCTTACTTAACACAGTACTCAGTGAGGTAGAGTGTGTGAAATGCTTAGCACAGTGCTCAGAAACACAGTTCCACATGGCCCCTTTCCTTTTCTTGGACTGCCACTCTCCCACCCCATTTCTGAGGCCTCTTATATTTCTCTTTTCTTTTACTTATTGTTATTTATTTAGGTATATTTTTGAGTCAGGGTCTCCCTGTAGCTCTAGTTGGCCTGGAACTGCCATGGAGGTCAGAAGAGGGCTTCAGATTCCCCTGGAACTGAAGTTAAGGACGGTTCATAGCCACCATGTAGGTGCTGGGAATTGAGCCCTGGTCCTCTGCAAGAGCAATCAGTGCTCTTAACCACTGAGCCATCTCTCCAACCCCTTATTTATTATTTTTATTTTATGTGTATGAGTGTCTTGCTCGCACGTATGTGAGTGCGCCTGTGTTGTGCAATGCTGGCAGAGGACAGAAGAGGGTGTCAGAATTTCCTGGAACTGGAATTACAGATGGTTGTTAGCCACCATGTGGGTGCTGGGAATCGAACCTGGTCCTCTGCAAGAGTAGCCAGTGCTCTTAACTGCTAAGCCATCTCTCCAGCCCCTCTCTTTCCTTTTCTTAGTGCACGCTGGGACAGGCACCAGGAGGCCTGGCTTGATTTCTATGATGGCACTTTTGGTTATAAAGCTGATGAACCTTGCTTTAGAGGAGACGAGGGAGGAATAAAGATGGACATAGAGATGCAGATGTAATTGTGTATATACACATACATATGCACATTTAAAGAACACACAACAATGTGCTTAGGCTCATATAATACACACATATGTGTCTAAATTACTGTCTAAGCTGCCATGCTGAACAGCAAGATTTTCCTAGTTTGGAAAGATGTTTGTCCTGGCTTTCCAGTGTATGCTTAAAGCTGATGATTGACTGATATACCCCCCCCATTGGGGGGAACTGCTAAGTGCTAACTAGCCTATGTAGAACCTGTGACCTGTGATCACAAATGTCACAGACGTCCACATGGCTCCCAGCATGAGGGATTCTGTCCCTGGGCCTTTTCCACTTGGTGATAGCACTTAACCCTAAGAGAAGACAGCAGAGGGCAGCAGCACAGTGACACACACACTGAGCGACTGACAGACTTTGCTAAAGACTGACCTCACAGTGAATTCCTCAGCCAGAGCCAGGCAGAGCCGCGCCGTGTCTCACCACAGGCTGACTTTCTGTGGCTGTTCTCATTTTATACTAAAATGTTTTACTTGAAAAGACAAGATTTTCATTTTTTTCATATATTTTTGAAATTTAATGGCTATCTACATACATAGGAATTTATCATTACATGTATTTAAATTAACATTCTGGCAATTACTGTTTTACTTTGAATGTGTGGTATGGAACTTGCAATGTTCCAATATGTCCAGCAGAGGGAGGTCTTTGAAAGCAATTCACAACCATTAGGCAGTAAAGTCATTTTACAAAAGATTTTTAAGATCTCCAGATAGGCCGACTAGACTCCGGTGGATGAACTTGCATTGAAGGGATAGCTGGTACAAATGTTTGGCCAGATAGGACTTAATATATATAGCAGAATACATGCGGGCTGGTGGGGAGGTGGGGGAGGGGCATGGACGGGGAGGGGGTCAAAATTTGATTAAGAAATACTGTATGAAATGCAAAAAAACTGTGTGTGTGTGTGTGTGTGTGTGTGTGTGTGCGTGCGTGCGTGTGTGTGAGCGGTTAGTGACAATCTCAAGTAAAAGTTGACCTCTTTCTTAGTTCCCGTTTCTGTCCCACTCCAGAAATTCTAGGCTTGCTAGGGCTGATGAAAAGGGAAACGGAAAGAAAGTACAATAAATTCCTTCAACCAAAAAAGTAGCGTCCACCAGTCAGAAATGCTTGGCTAAACCACAGTCAGTCAGAGCTCCTTTTTATTTTATTTACTTTGAATTAAATAAGGAATAGTCACATGGTTCTATATTGTAAGTTAAATGTATACACACTGCTTATCAGTTTGTTTCGTGGTTTTGTTTTTGGGTTTTGTGTTATTTTGTTTTTGAAACAGGGTCTTTCTGGCCTTGAACCCATAATCCTCCCCCTTCAGCCTCCGGAGTGGCTGGGTTATAGGCTTGTGAAGTGGTGCTGGCTTTTCTTTCTCTTTTTAAACTCTTGTTTTGCTTTTTCCTTTTTTTTTTTTTTTTTTTTTTTTTTTTTTTTTTTGTATACGGGT